GTTCAGAACACTCGAAGCGAAGAATTTTTTGGTTCGAGCCTGGCATCGGGCGTTAATGTTTTTTTTCATGCAAAAAATCATTTATTTTAATTGTCAGTTTCGTTTTATGTTCTGATGTATTGAAATTTTGAATTAGATAAATTTTGGTTCAGTTTGGTTCTCGAGCGAAATCAATTCTAATCTTCTATTCTATATTATTATGCTTCCTGTCAGTTTGTCTCTATATAACCCATACCCTACTATTTTTGCATAGTGGTCTAAGGATTTATATAGCGTAAGCATACTATGCCGAAATAGTGCACGGCCATATTTGCTGAATAAAATACTTCAGTACACCCACCGGGAATGGAACTGACGACCATGAGGTTGCTAGTCCGATGCCTTATCGATTACGCCACAGAGACGATCAATGATTGGGAGAATTTTATAAAATATATAAATTTAATTTATACAATTGACACAAGAAGGAGAAAATAGACAAATATTATTTGAAAACAGTTATATTTATTCTAAGGAATCTTAGATAAATGTGTACAACAAAGTTTCAAACTAATTACATACAGATCGTTAGATGAATTGATATCATGGGGTCATTAAAACGCTTTTTTATATAGCGCTTGATTGAAGGATGTAAAAGAAAATTATCAATGAGAATCCACGTCTGTAAACAAATCAGTCTTACTAACAAAACAGAAAATAAAGATGAGTATCGTTGGGACAGAAAATTCTGACTTATTTAGAGAAAATACTAGTAACCAAAATAACTAAGCATGCAACTAAAATAGCATGAAGAATTTGAATGAGTTTTTGCAAGTGCGCTGTGTTACCACCATTATTTTCAGGAAAAAATCAAATGGATTGCCGCATAAATAATAACAACAGTCAGCATAATAATAACAATAGTGTTGCATTATGCATGTACTATGCCTAAATAGTAGGCAGGGTTTGACACATAGTGCACTCGCCTCCGGCTCGTGCACCATGATGTGTCAAACCCTGCCTACTATTTAGGCATAGTACATGCATAATGCAACACTATTATATAAATGTACATGTACACGTATCATGCATCTATGCATTAAATATTTTAGGTGTTTATTTTATGTTATAGTACCCCCTAGGAAAAACGGGCATAAATGTCACAATTTCACAAGATCTTTCAAACTAAATAAAAAAAAAATTATGGACGTGTTTGTAAAATCTGACCAGCTATGTTCAGCAAACCAAATCATGGACATTTAAACCATAAATGTTTCATACAAATGATTCCTGCAGATCACTCGCCAAATGCGCCCATATTCTTTACAATAAAATTTCATAGAACTTCCAGAATTAGGTAAAATTTCACATTTTATGGAACTATAGTGTCATAACACATACCTGAATTAACGGGATTTTTTGGATGTCAAATGTTCATATCAAAATAGTTTATCTTTGTTACACTTAGGCCAAAAAAACCTGTCGTTTTCGAGGTTGCGCCGCCTGGACATACATGTACCATTGTTTATACAAAAGCTTTACTTATTTATTTAAAAATAAAATTTATGATTTGGTTTATTCTATAGATAGAAAAGATGATGATAAATAAATGTTTTAAAATATATTAAAGCCGCTTGGTCCGATTCTAATCGCTAAAAAATATATTCGTTTTTCTTCTTGAAAAATAATTGTCCATAAATTGTTTCTCATTTTGTCAAATTATATCCCCAAAGTCTTTTTCTTTCAAAAGATATCAAAATTCAAAAGTAAAAAAAAAAATAATTCTTGTTAGGTCGCACAAAAAATAATTCTATGTTGATATCGCGTGAAATCACCTTCGAAAAATTAAATTTATCGCTTACATGTATATCTCATGAAGAACGAACCCGAGCATTTTTTTCACAACAAAGTACTTATACCTGTACACGGACAATATTTTAGCCTTCGTTACTAAATTTCCTTTAAAATAAATATCTGATTTTCCTTTATTCTTTAGATATGCATATTAATATAAAAATTACTATGGATTATATTCAGTGACTTAGGCTTCTACTAATGGAAAAAATACTCGGGTTTGAATTATCTTCATAATTAGATAAAACCGATAAATTTATTTTTTTCAAAGGTGACTTCACAACAGATCTTAACTTCCTGTCAGGAACTTCTGTTTGTCTATAAGGTTTTTGATCTATGTTTTCCACGTAAGGATTGTTGTAATAAACTATTAAATCAATCTTATACTTTATTTTTATATATTATCTATGTAATGACGTACTTTTATTGTGTAAGATACAGTGAGGTTGCCAATAACGAATCGCACCCGTTAACGAATCACTTTCAGATGAAAATTCTGTATTTTTCTTATCAAAGTCCAATACTTAGCTTAACCTACCCTGTCATGCTGAATTATTCTTGCTTTTATCATTTATCATGAAATTATTAAATTCAACTCGTTCAATGTCCTAATTTTTAAATAAACATAACAAGCTTTTTTGTGACGCAGACCATGCAGAAGCGTACATGCAAGCAGACTACTTTCACTTTTTGGTACCGCTCCAATGTGAATCGTACATTCTAGGTAAACAAATTTGGTGCAGATGTTTAATAAAATTATGTCTAAAAGCACTGAAAGCGTCATACAATTTCTAAATCAGAAATTAATAGTATTTGCATTAAAGTTGGGGGTATTTAGGTTTCCAATAACGAATCGCTGTTTCAAGAAATATGAGATGCAGGAATCCTGCCCAAATTATAATTTTTCGTATGCGTTTTTTTTTTTTTTTTTTTTTTTTTTTTTTGCACACCAGTTACAATGAAAAAACAACAGAAGATGTCTACCAAAAGCGTACAAAAAAGGTGGTTAAAATACACATAATCAAAATCAGCAGCCAAAATCACTAAGACGTGCAGAGCATGTGGATTCGAGAATGTCTCCCGGTGGTATATGTGCATGTAAGCTAATGTGAAGACATCGACGATAGCGAAATAAAAATCGTCATAATTACCAAACAGAATTAAGATTTAGAAATTTTATTTATTTATCCCTTTGCAATTTAAACTTTTCTACTAAATCATTATTTCCAACAATACCTCGTTTGCAGTTTTCCTTTTCCCTAAAAAAATTATTTCAAATAATCAATTTTTATTTCTTGTCATGATCAAGCTCAAGCTCGTATAATATAAAATGCATGTTGCTAACAATACTTTTTCAATTCAACATCAAGCTAGATAAATTATAAACAGAGTTTTATGATACCCCCCCTTCTTTTTCAACATATATACTAGTTAGTAAACATTTTATTTAAATTACACATTGAGAAAATGATATGCATACTGCAGCCTTTTGCCTATATGGAATATATGCCACCACTGCCGTAACGTAAAAGGAAGAAAGAGCACTATGAAAGCAGCAGAGGAGAATGAGCTGTCTTATTCATTTCTATAGAGACGATGGACAGTTGAAGTAGACCCATATAAAATGAAAGGACAACCTCCAGTATTTAATAAATCAGAATGTTTAGTCTACTGTGGATGTTGGAATGGAGAAATCCGATAAATGAATCCCAACATCATCATTTGTAAAGTTGTCTCTGCTCATTGGAGGAAATTTAGGTGTTGGGTCTCGACATTTTGAAAATATAATTGTTCCTTTCAGCTTTAGGTATCTCTGAAGCCAGGCTTGTAGGAAGCAATTTCAGTTGGTGGGGGAGGGGTGCAGAGCCATACATTTTCAGTTGAGGAGGCACTATCAACCACCAAAATTCCTTGACAATTAATTAATCAAGCATAAAAAAGGTCATCGGACTTTTTTTTTTTGAGGGGGTACAATCATGTATCTAGCGATATATTTTCTATCTAAATAGCGTTAAACTTATGGGGAGGGGGCGTGGTAGCTCAATGAGTACAATTCTTGAATCAAAAATTAATTCTTCGGCTGTTTGCAGTTCATCACATATAAATTTTTACTTCCTCTTATATCAACTAGTCATTTGCTTTCCCTATGATTTCATTGTTGTTTTTGCATTAATTGTCGGATGCAAACAACTCAAAAAATTCCTAGCTTTTCTACTTTTTTTGAAGGGGGGGGGTGTGAAATATTTTAAGGCATAGTAAAACGTTACGTAAGAAGGGTATTTTTAAATTTACACGGTCCCGAACCAGAATAATCAGCTTTACGTCACGTGACTCGGTAATGGAGAAAATGATCCGCTAAAGGAGAAAACATCATTCATACAAGTACAGCGATAATTTTTTATTTAATCAGTGGTTATTGGGAAAATATATATGATGTTATAAGTAAAACATAGTACCACCAAACAATGTTGTAAAATGAATTTAACTCAAACTCAGGTACGAAATATCCAAGCAAATTTACTAAGTGATTCGATATCGGCAACCTCACTGTAATATGTGCCTGTTTCGGATTAAGCGGCTTTAATGTACATAAAACGGTTTTAATTTTATGGCGCTAGTCCACGAACTTTTTGATACCCCCTCGTACAAGGTTTTGAAAACACATCTGATTTGATGAAATGAATATTTCTATTCATGACATTATAATCTAGTGTAACATCGGACTGTGCAGCATGTGTATACGAATAATTTATATTGATGACGCTCGTGAATTATTGTGTATTTTTTTGAATTTTAAAAATTAGATAAATTATAATCTATAATTAATTTTCGCTAGCACTTTGCAGTGTGACAAAATATTAAAGAAAATGTAGTGTTTGTCCATGTTTATGTAGTAAAAAAATCAAAATCCAAAAGTTTGACGTAATAATGAAATTAGCTTAACGTCAGACTGGTGCATGCTCAATTTTGTGACTTTTAAAGACCCCACGTTTTATGCAAAAATATAAGGTTCAATCAAAAAAAATATTAAAGATTTCTGACTCGGTTTTTCATAAGAAATATTTTGATATACATTAAATATATATAGAACCATTTATTTCAACAAAAACGTAATTGTCTACGAACTTTCTGGACAACCCTCGTAATTAATGTCTGTCTGTTAACAGTTCCTGATGCCAAAAGCAAGGAGGAGGATGGAGGTCTCTCAGCGGAAGCCATTGCTACTATTGCTTCTGCAGTCATCGCATTCTTTGCTCTTGTGCAAGCGACGGTGGTAGCGATGTTAGAGTTTTCCAGAAGAACATATGGAAGTGATTTGAATGGCTCAGACAATAATAAAAAGAAAATGATTTACCAGGGGAAATTTTCAAAATACAATAACCCGAGCTGTAATTAATTAAGAATGCATTGAGGTCTATGGGAAGAAGCACATTTTTAAAAATAAAAAATTAGGTAGTATGAATATCAAAGAAATGCTTTGGTGGAAAGATGCATACAATTATCAAGAATAGAAAAATAATTTTGGATCGTATGTCTCCATATACCGAGTATTCAGCCAATATATACATACTGTATATATAACAATGGAAAACTATATGTACATCAAATCTCATGAAATAAGAAAATCCATATGCAGATTTAGAATAAGTGCTCATGACCTAAGAATTGAAAAAGGCAGATATGAATCTGGTCAAAGAATTCCCTTAAATATAAACGAAAGAATATGTTTAATGTGTAACCAAAAGAATATAGAAGATGAATATCATTTTCTTACTGAATGTCCATTATATACTGAGGAGAGAGATAAATTTTTTCGTGATATCTCATTACTTAACAAAAATTTCATATTATTATCAAAATGAGACAAATTTCTCTGGTTAATGTCTAATGAAGACAATTTAATTATTACAAAGCTAAGTGAATATCTTGTCAAAGCCTTCAAAATAAGGCATAATGCCATGAGTCTTCATAAATGATGTTAAATATTTATCTGTATAATGGTATATATGTATATTGATAATATTGATTTTGATCGCATGTTAATTAGCGATTTCATAACCCCAACTGCTGCATTTACATGTACAGTTACTTGCATATCTTATATCAGATATATACATGTATGTGTGTTTATGTTTGTGTATGTTTACGAAACTTTATTTCAGAACTTTCCATCTTGTCATTGTAAAGAAAACCTTTATGCCTCCTGGGCCCAAAATTGGAAAATAAAATTATCTTATCTTATCTTATCTTATCTTGTAAAATTTGGCGCGCCATAGCATTTTTTAATGATCCATAGTCCTCGGACAGTTTGCACTTATTTCCCCTGGCGATACTTACATGCATATGAATATTTTATCGATCGATTGAGAGAGAGAGAGAGATCTGTGAATATACATCTAGTCTTTATAAAATGTATTTATCATTCAAAAAATGAGATTTGTTAAAATAAATTGAAATGATGATAGATTAAATACATTTAAAAACAGTAGTTGCTGATATTAATGTTGAAATCTTCCGATAAAAAGTCACTTTGAAATTGTATTGAACTTGCAACAATTCTTAGAAATAAAATGCAGCTAGATACACGCAGTATTTATTAATTTATTTTTGTCCCCCGCTTGAAAAGTGGGGGATATTAATTTGGGTCCGTCTTTCTGTCTGTCTGTAAAGCTTTCGTTTCCACACGATATTTCGAGAACCCTTTGAGCTTTTGCAATGAAATTTACACGCAGTATTTATTGATTTATTTTTGTCCCCCGCTTGAAAAGTGGGGGATATTAATTTGGGTCTGTCCGTCCGTCCGTCCGTCTTTCTGTCTGTCTGTAACACTTTCGTTTCCACATGATATTTCGAGAACCCTTTGAGCTTTTGCAATGAAATTTACATGCAGTATTTATTGATTTATTTTTGTCCCCCGCTTGAAAAGTGGGGGATATTAATTTGGGTCTGTTTGTCCGTCCGTCCGTCTTTCTGTCTGTCTGTAACACTTTCGTTTCCACACGATATCTCGAGAACCCTTTGAGCTTTTGCAATGAAATTTTGCATAGCAACTCCCTATGGACTAAAGAAGAACCCTATCGATTTTGAGATCAAAAGGTCAAAGGTCAAGGTCATAAATTTGCAAATTCTGTCTTTTACAACACTTTCGTTTCCGCGCGATATCTCGAGAACTCTTTGAGCTTTTGCAATGACATTTTACATAACAACTCCCTGTGGCCGAAGAAAGAACCCTATTGATTTTCTATTGATTTTGAGGTCAAAAGGTCGTAAATTTATACATTCTGTCTGTATGAAACACTATCATTTCCAGGCGATATTTCAAGAAGATTTTGAGCTTTTGCAATGTAATTTTATACCAAAACTCCCTAGGACCTCGCTCACCCCTCTCAAAGTGTCCTGCCCTGTTTATTTTATTAGTTTATTGTATTACATGTCGCTATTTTTAGCACAGGGTCATGAGGAGAGTTATTACGTATAAAATAGGTTCTCGGTGGACTTTATATTCTTTTTACATCTATTAGAACTGTTTAATAAAGGTTAACTTAGATATCATGCATTGTGTAAAATTTTGACAATATCGAACGTGAATATATACATGTATGTGATTTCATCTTTGCATATAATTTTCGTTAGTTTAAAGCGGCTCCGTGGTCTAGTGGTATGTCTATCGCATCACATGTGAGAGGGCCAGGGTTCGCATCCCGGGCGATCTAGGTGTTTTTTTTTTTCGAAATATTTTTTTTTCACTAAATGATAGTATTCATGTGAAATGAAAAATTTATGAGGTCTGGCTTGTACAAACTCATAAAATCATCATTACAGTGTGATAAATATTCCCTATAAAAAGAATCTCCTATACACATAATAAAGAATAAGCAATCAAACCTTTATATCCATATTGGCATATTTTATTTGCTTCAGTACACATGTATACATTTAATAATTCTATAAATTCAGTCAAGGGGATCCGACCCCCCCCCCCTCCCCTGAACTGCGCATGGTTTACTTTTTCCCTCAGCGGGGGAAACATATTCTCTGATTTAGCTTGTTGAGCATTATACCGACAATGATTTTATGCTTCAAATAAATATATATACATTTGTGGAATCTCTCTGTTATATATAAACATACGGACTGTATGAAGTTTTTCCGAGGTCAGAGGTTAATACGTGACCTAATCACACGGCGCAATAAAATCTACCGGTGCAGAAATATAAAATGACTTGCTCTACTTGCTTTTCATGTATAAAAATGAACAAAATATGCAAGTAGAATAATATTTATCTTATTTACAACATTAACAATTATTTCATACAGTTTTTGGCTATCGATTTAACCTGTGTACATGGAGAATATACCGATAGAAACTAGCTTTTGTTAACAACTTTTATGTCACTTTTTCAGCTGTACAGTCTCTAACGTTTATCCTTATTTTTGGGGTAGACTTTAATTAAATCTTCACGATAAACTATAACTTTTTCATCAAATTCTACTCACAGTAAATGTGTAAATCTGTTGGAAAATATCAAAGCATTCAAAGCATTGCAATCACGCCACGAACAGGTGATAAACACCTCGGCGCTGTCGTAGTTCAATGTAAGCTTTCGCTAGTGTCCCCGTGATTTGTTTACATCATAAATATGCCTTTAGTTATTGAAATCGTAAGTTTAAAGTTTTTGATCTGAAATACTTGGTTGCAAATAAACTGGCACGGTCAAGTGTTTCCATCCATCGGATCATCCATCCCTTTCCGGCGACCGAAATTCCTCCAACTTTTTATCATCGATCTTCGGACGTGTTTCTTGTGTATCTTCAGCATTGATTATCAATTTTCAGAATAGAAATATTTCCAGACAACAATCTGTTCAAAATTACTGATCACAAGTAGCCTTTCACAAAATGGTCCCTTAGAAATAAAAGCCTTAGCCTAATGTCAGTAATGAATTCGAAGCGTAACCGCCATTCAAGCTGATTTACACCTTGCGTCATTTTTCAAAATCTACGACGGACGGTTAGTGCAATAATTTGTATTCGAAAATATTTAATCGTCTGTCTCAAATGTATATATATAAGTAATAAATAACAAGTTTATATACTTGTTATTTATTTCTTAAGTAAACAAAAGAAACAACCATAGACTAGTATAGGCTGAAAAGACAATATGATCTATTGATATTCCACAGGCGCTTGCGATGTTCTTATAGAAGAATAATTAATATTGATATGGCGACATCTTTTGAGAATGAATTAATGATAGCTGAAAAAAGTACTATCACCTGTAATCTTAAGCGTTAATAATGCCATTGAAGAAATCTGAGCCTAAATTTAAAATTGATTTGTTTTTCAGCTTCCAGTCACCTACCGATCAGCTAAAAATGAACCTGCCCCACCCCCACCCCCCCCAAAATAATTATATTATTTTCTTTTTGTAGTTTCAAGCTTTGAGGCCTGGGATATTGAAACTATTTCATTTTTTATTTTTGATTTTCGTTATTATCAATCAGGTGGAATTATTTATTATGTTCAATAAGCTTAGTTTTGATATGTAATAAAATTCTGAAAAGTATTCTTTTTTTAAACAAACATGTCGAACTATCCACTATAAAGATTTTTGGGCGTCTTTAAAAAAAAATAATAATAAGCTAGGCCCTATACATTATTGGAAAAATTAAAAATAAAAGCAACCAGAGGCCATCTTTAAAAAAAAGTTGCACTCTCCCGACCGATGAACTAAAAATGTCCCAAATCAGAACTTTGTTTTAATGTTCCAGGACAAGATTTATTGGATCTCATCCAGATAACGAAGACTCGGAATTAGTTTTTAGGTATATTTGAAATTCTACCACGGTTATTGAAAACTTCAAAGGAAGCCGCCGGACATTATTCTCCAATAAATCACGAACGTCATCAAAAAATTATCAGATCAGAAACACGTATCAAATCTGAACAATTCAAATGCATATTTGGCTGTAGAATGAAAAACTTGTTTAGACCGCATCGATGTGTCGTCTTTTGCAGTAAAAACACTGTAAATTGCATCAAGTTGCTGATGAATGTCGGTTTTTATAGCTAAGCGGGGCTATTCCACGGACCTCCCTACACATTAAACAACGTGATTTTAGCAGTAAAACAAGAACATGATTTTGTTTTTGTATATTCATTTTAACTGACCAATACATATTACGAACAAATTTGTAATTTAAAAAGACTATTTTTAATGCAACGAAAGCTCAAATCGCCTGCATTCCATATATAGGTAAGTCAACAAAATTTCTCTCTGGTGTTAAATAGAACAGCGTAATCGAGACATGGTGACCTAATTCGTTTCTCTATAGAGGAAACAATCGGCCGTATTTATCGCCCTTGGTAGAACAGAAATAAAGTCCTTGTTGTCGTGAATGATGCAGAATAACCTCCTCGGTCTCGAAATGTTGTTTGAAATATAAAAGCCTCGGCTAACGCCTCGGCTTTTATCTTTCAAACAACATTTCTCGACCTCGGAGGTTATTCTGCAACATTCACGAAAACGCGGACTTTATTTCTTAAACAAACAAACTATGAAAATGTACAAATACAAATGTTTG